GCGGGGCCGCACGCTGCCCTGGAACTCGGGCTACGCTGAGTGAGTGCCCCTCCCGGGACCCGGCCGGGCCGGCCCCAGCCATCCTGGGGTTCCGTGCTGACCCAGAACACAGGCTGAGTGAGTGCCCGCCCCCCCGCGCCCCCAGCCTGCGGCTAACCCCTTCTTGGCCTCACCGCCGACCCGACCACCTTCCTCTAACCCCAACCCAGACTGCAACCTGCCTCAGAGGAGGCTGGAGGCTGGAGGCTGGAGACTGGGAAGGGCCTGCACTCCAGGGCTTCCAGGATGAGGCCGGAGGCTCTGTAGAGTTCCAGCGTTCTGGGCTTCGAACATAACCCCCTCCCGCTGGCACACACACTTCACCCTGGGTGTGGTCTGTGCTGTATAGGGCAGGGGATAGGAGCGGGAGCCCCAGGTCCCCCCAGGCAGCGCACCCTTATCTTCTAGCCCTGAGTCAACAGGTAGGCTCCAGAGGAGCTGGGCCCTGACTTTTACCTCAGTCCTGAGGCCACTGAAGTTAAGAAATTTACATCGAGCTTGTCCAGGTGTGTGTCAGGGACAGCACTGAGGATCTGTTGCCCCAGGGGAAGGGCCCCTCTCTCCGTGGGCCAACTCGGGTCTTTGTGTCTATGGGGACTAGATGCGTCCCTGAAGGCTCACTGACAACTTCCTGGCCTCAGGATCATGAATGCAGAGAAATCTGAGTTCAATGAAGATCAAGCTGCCTGTGGGAAGCTGTGCCTCCGAAGATGTGAGTTTGGGACTGAAGAAGAGTGGCTGACCCTGTGGCCTGAGGAGGTGAGTGCTCCTGGCCTGAGTCTCTTACAGGTTGGGGCCAAGACCTGCAGGCTGAGGTTCTTGCCCTGGACCCCGGGACAACTAGGGAAGCCAGGCAGAGCCTGACTCTGAGCCCTTCCTTTGTAGTTCCTGATGGGTCATTACTGGGCATTGTTCGACGGGCATGGTGGTCCTGCGGCAGCCATCTTGGCTGCTAACACCCTGCACTCCTGCCTGCGCCGGCAGCTAGAGGCTGTGGTAGAGGGCCTAGTGACCACTCAGCCCCCTATGCACCTCAGTGGCCGCTGCGTCTGCCCCAGTGACCCCCAGTTTGTGGAGGAAAAGGGCATCAGAGCAGACGACTTGGTGATTGGGGCTCTGGAGAGTGCCTTCCAGGAATGTGTGAGTATATGGCCTTTGGCTGGGGAAGAAGGGAAGATGTTGCCCCCAGAGACCCGAGGGAATGGCATCCCTACATACCATGGTGATCAGCCCAGATCCTTGGACTAAGTTAGTTCATTTTTTTTTTTTTTTGAGTTGGCGTCTCACTCTGTCACCCAGAC